GTTTTGTTGCAACAGCTGTTGAGAGGGTGCGGCCTTTATTTTCACAATGAGAGAGAGAGAGAGAGAGGAGCGGGGGCTTTCAGCGACCAGAGGGTGACGACTTCGGCAACCGCTGGAGATCGGGAGCGGTGTCCCCGGGATGGAGCTCGATTCCTGAGGGACTAATGGCGCCCCGGAAGGTAACTGCCACACCCCTGCTCCCCCCATGTTCCTTCCCTTTCTTCTCCCCCAATGGATTTCTCGCGGTGGGGGTTGCCATGGTGGGTCGGCGATGCTCCCGGGCGGCGTTTGGCTGGTGGATAGGATGGTTCTGGGCTAGGTTCCTGTGGGTTCTCCTACAGATCTGGTGATGGGGCAGGAGTACTGTTTGTCCGTGATTGGCGGGTGGTTGCAGATCTAGCGATGGGGTAGAGGATGGTTCTGGGCTAGGATCCCTTGAGTTTTTTTGCAGATCTGGTGATGGGGCAGGAGTAGTGTTGGTCCGTGATTGGCGGGTTGTTGTGGATCTGACGATGGGGAAGAGAATGATTCTGAGCTAGGCTCCCGTGGGTTTTCCTGCATATCTGGTGATGGGGCGGGAGTAGTGTTGGTCTGTGATTGGCGGGTGGTTGCAGATCTAGCGACGGGGTAGGAGTAGGGTTTGGAGATGTTGGGGTTCAAATATGATGCAACATTATATCGTGACGATTCTTGTGTTTGCTGTGATATTTTAAGGGAATCAGATAGATGCAACACAGTGTTTGTTTTTTTCAATTTTGTTTCATGTACATGGGTCATTCCCCTTCTTCTTTTTGCATTCCTATGCAATACTGTGTGTGATTTAGATGCAGTATCAACACATGCAGGGTTCACTTTTGAATGTGATAGAGTAGGTTCATTTTTATGTTGCCGTGATGACATAGGTTTTTTAGCTGCAGAAGTGTGAGTCCTATAAAGAGGGGCCAAATTCTCTAAGCTTCTATAAGTTTTTATGTATGTATGTCATGTGATGATAAGGTTCATGTTT